CGGTGGGGAGGGGCTGGGCGGGGCGCACCGGAGAGGCGGATCCGGTCCCGGCGGGGTCGGACTTGTTCTAACGGCGGATCCACTTCCCTAGGGTATGTCACCGTTGGAAGAGGCTGGTGGACGACCGGTGGCTGTGGCGACACGTCGACCTGACGCTCTACACGGTAAGTGGGGCAAGCCTGGCGGGCCTGGGCCGCGGTCGGCTGGCCAGACCTCGAGGACCCGCCCTCCCACCGTGGATTTTGAGCAAGGCAGTCCGGGCCGTGTCGCCGACTTGCTCCACTGCGACCTCTCTGCCTCAGTTTCCCCATCTTCTAAAAGGTGATAACTGAGAATGTGCAGGGAATGAGCTTAGAGTAGTGCCTGGGATATACATAGTCAGCATATGTTAAGTGCTGGTTGATGATTAGATTATTACTTCTTACTGAGGAGTTTTCATGGGGAAATCATTTTCCAGTCAACTGATTTCCAGAATTACTTTCCTGAGTGATGCAGCTGAACCATTTTCACTTTCTACCACTTGCATTTTATTTTTCTTGTTTTTATTATGAACTATTTCAAATATATAGAAATATATAGAGGATAACATGGTTTCAGATAACGAACATGTACGCACTACCCAGATTTAACCTATTTTAACCTTTGCACTTCTTTGCTGCAGACTGTGTGAAACACACATACAAATGTTTATTTATATATGTATGTATAGAGGTGTATTTATTGCACTTTTGGAAACTCTTCAGAGGAGTTCCACTATTATAAAATGGAATTGTAGCCTTCCTTTGACGTTTTTATTCAATTCCTATGTGTGTGAGCCTGTAAGCAATATACAGTATTGTTAATGTGTTAATATAGCTTAGATAATGGTATTCTATTTAGATAATTAAATGTTATTTTACTTATGTAACTGCCCACAGCTAGCTTTATTCACACCTGAGTTTTGTGATTTATTATAATGGCCATGTGTAAATCTAGATCATTCCTTTAATTGTTGTTTAATGAATATACCAAATTTGTTTATTTTCTTATTGATGTTTAGATTATTTCCATCTCTTTCCTATTAAAAACAGTGTTATAAGGGTCTCAAACTTTACTGTGCAGACGAATCACCTGGGGATCTTGTTAAAATGCAGATTATGATTCAGTGGCCTGGAATAGGCCCCAGATTCTGAATTTCTAACAACCTCCCAGGTGTTACCCACGTCGCTGGTCCTTGTTCCACAAGAATGTCCTTGTGTCTATCTTCTCGTGTCCAGGTCCAAGTTTCTCTGTAACCCAGAAGTGCGATTTCTGAGAGGTAGGGTCATTTATGTTTTAGCATCTTCAGTTCATCTGCAAATCCAAAATCAAAAAGTTTGCAAAATGGAACATAGTTTTGTAAGCTTAGTCCAAATTTATTTGGTGGCAAAGCATGACCTGAACTGGTGTGAGGCTATTAATGTCTTTTTCCTTACCTTGCTTAGTCTTAGGTTATACTGAATAATATTAATCCGATAATGGAGTGCTGCCCTAGACCCCACTGAAGATATTATGTATGTTGTCTGCACCACGTTAATTCTGAATTCTGAAACCCATCTGTCTCCAAGAGTTTTGGATAAGGAATTGCGGCCCTGTGTAGAAATTGTTTTTACTGAGATAATTTTTTAAAAAATGATCATTTTTTCTGTATTAGTTATTTTTCCACCGTCTTATTATGAAAAATTTCAAGCATACATAAAAGTTGAGAGAATAGTACAGAGAACACCAAGATACTCACCATTAATATTGAACTACATTTGTCCTATCACCTGTCGATCCATCCATCCCTCCCTCCTTGCATTCATCAATCCATTTTCTTTTTTAATTTTCTTTTTTCTTTTTTTAGGTGAGGCAATCCTTGGTTGACCTCACAGATTGCAAGGACCTTGTCAGCTTACAATCTCTTATTTTTTTTTAATTTTTTAAATTTTTTACACCTACAGCACCTGGTCTTCCTAGGTGGTCTCCCATCCGAGTACTAACCAGGCCCGACCCTGCTTAGCTTCCAAGATCAGATGAGATCGGGCTTGTTCAGGGTGGCATAGCCGTAGACTCCATTTTCTTTTTTAAATGCATTGCAAAATACGTTGCAGATAAAAGAAACAAAAACAAAAAAAGGTTGAAGCATTGTCACAGATGAAGCTAAGAGCCGTTGACAGTTATTTCTTGGTGTCCTTAACCCTTCCCCAGAGTAACCACTATTATAAGTGTGGAGTACTATCTTCTATGCATTTACGCCCTTGTGTCTGTATAAGGAAGGAAGTACAGTGGTTACAAGAGCAAGGTTGGGTTTTGGAGTCAGGCTGCGTTCAATCTTAGTCCTCTCTCTCTCTTGCGACAAGATTCTGGCCAAGACATTTTCCTGGATACCTGCTACACGACCAGGTACTGTGTAAGCTTCCTAGTTCAATGCTCAGCCCTGCACCTGGCAAAAAGTAGGTACTTAATAAACGTTAGCCATTATGATTGGAATAATCGTACCCATATAAAACATATAGTATTGTTTATTTTTTCTTTTACCTATAAGGTATCATTTTGCTACACTTCCATCTTAAGGAGTTACGTTAGTATCTTCAGATCTATTTTGTTCTTAGTTGCTACCAATGTAGCTATTATCAAAGGACATTTTTTTTCCCTAGTGTTTGCTGTTAAAACAATGCTGCCAGAAAACACTTTTTCTAGAGTAAATTCCCAAAAAGAGGTATTACTAGGTCAGGTGATGTGTACCTTTAAACAAACTAAGGAATTAGTTTTTAAAAATAATACATATTGTACATAGAATTCAAAATATGCAAAATAGTAAAAGCTGAAAAGGAAGGTCTCCTCGCCACATTCTGTCACCCAGGGCACCCTGTTCTTTCCCCAGAGGCTGCAAATGCTCCTAGCAAATGCTCTTCTAGAGATATTCTCAGCACGCAAAAACACAAACACCTGTATTCTCAAAAAACAAAACAGGTGGTAGTGAGTAGCCACATTTTAAATTTTAATAGAAACCACTAGATTGCATTCCAAAGTAGCTAGACCAATTTACTCCAGCAATGCTTGAGAGCTGCTCCTTCACATCTGGCCAATATTTGATATTCTGAAACGTAAAGGGTTTGTCCTTTTAAAAGTTGATTTTTCCACTGGCTCTGTGTCCATTTAAAATTTTGCCAACCATGGCTTCTACTGTTGTGAGTTACTTTTTAGTGGCCAATATGTCTAGCGAGTCCCTTCCACTGGGTGCAAACTTGCAGGTTTAAATTTGGCCAGGAAGCTGTGATTCCTCTGTGGAAAATCGTCAACAAAATTTATGCTATGTTTTTTATTTCTTTTTATTTTTTAGGTAAAATATACATATGGTGAAATGCACAATGCTATTAGTTATATTTTGTTTGTTTTCTACCAAGTGTAACTTCCCAGAGTTAAGTTTTACAGCTTTCGCTATTACCAGGCTACAATTTTTTTTTAGATGTAGATCTAATTTACCCCGGGCAGTTTTAGCCTTTTTCAGTTTTACCTTGTGTTGTTTATTTCTTCCTGAGGTGATCATTAAGAGAAGAATAAAAAAAAAATAAAAAAATAAAAAAAATTAAGGGATAAAATTCCTGGTGGGTCACTTTGCTTTCTTACTTATTCCAGAAGATAATGAGAATCCACTCTGTTGCTAAAGACAGATCTGTTATGATCTTCTCTTTCTCCCATTGTTTTTGTTCAAATCTAGAAGTCAAAACAGCGGGGTTACGTGGTCTGTTACCCCTGGGGAGGTGTCTGGTCGGGTGAGGCCGGCAGTGGAATTTCAGGGGAGCAGCAGAACCCAGACTGGGGCTTGTCTGTCTCCAGTAAGATGGGGACCATGGAAGATCGCCTGTATCTCTCACTCGGTCGCCCCCATCTCTGGATCTTACAGATGAGGCCTAAAGTCATGTGGCACCTCCTTCGCCGATACATGGCATCCCGACTCCATTCCCTGCGGCTGGGTGGCTACCTGTTCTCAGGCTCCCAGGCCCCCCAGCTGTCCCCAGCCCTGATGAGGGCCCTGGGCCAGAAGTGCCCCAACCTGAAGCGCCTCTGCCTGCACGTGGCCGACCTGAGCATGGTGCCCATCACCAGCCTGCCCTGCACCCTGACAACCCTGGAGCTGCACAGCTGTGAGATCTCCATGACCTGGCTCCTCAAGGGGCAGGACCCCACCGTGCTGCCCTTGCTTGAGTGCATCGTGCTGGACCGAGTGCCCGCCTTCCGGGATGAGCACCTGCAGGGCCTGACGCGCTTCCGTGCCCTTCGCTCGCTGGTGCTGGGCGGCACCTACCGGGTGACTGAGACGGGGCTGGATGCCAGCCTGCAGGAGCTCAGTTACTTGCAGAGGCTGGAGGTGCTGGGCTGCACCCTCTCGGCTGACAGCACCCTCCTAGCCATCAGCCGCCACCTCCGAGACGTGCGGAAGATCCGGCTGACCGTGAGGGGCCTCTCTGCCCCAGGCCTGTCTGTCCTGGAGGGAATGCCGGCCCTGGAGAATCTGTGTCTGCTGGGCCCGCTCATCACCCCAGAAATGCCTTCCCCAGCTGAAATCATCACCTCCTGCCTTACTATGCCCAGGCTCAGGGTCCTTGAGCTGCAGGGGCTGGGGTGGGAGGGTCAAGAGGCCGAGAGGATGCTGTGTAAGGGGCTGCCCCACTGTCTGGTCATCGTCAGGGCCTGCCCCAAAGAGTCCATGGACTGGTGGATATGAGTGCACCACCTGTCCCTGAGACCCACTTCACTTCTCATTAACGAGCCCCAGCCCCTCTGAGCAGCACCTTGCAGAGGGCAGGTGATTAGGCTGGAGGGCCCAAAGACCACAGGTAGAGAACAGAGGCCTTGGCGCCGTCAGACAGTTGCAGTTGTTTGCCAGCTGTGTGGCCTCTGTGACATCAGCCAGGTTCTTGGAGGCCTGGTCCCCACATCTGGAAATGGGGAGGGCCATAGCTACCTCATGGTTATGTTGCAAAGCCTTATACTTCACCAGCCCCAGGCCCGAGAGGGTCCTCGAAGGGTCATTTTCAGGCCTGTCCTCAGGAACAGGATGGATGTAGAAGAGTGTGGTTAGGAGTTAGGGGGACCTGAGGGGCCTGGAAGGACTCTACAGGTGCACCCACACAGCTGCACACCACTGGCATACCTGCACGTGTGGAGGAGACACAGGAAGTGCAGGTGTGACTCGTCTCTCATGATCAAAATGTTAATGAAGGTTCTAGATTGTATTTTCTGTATTTTGTATTCTGTATTTTTCAGGTTTTCCACAATATGTATTATTTTGTTATTAAAGAAAAATACTCATTTTTTTTCCAAAACAGCATTCTGTTTATTCATTTAGCAAACGTTTCTAAGTTCCCCCAATTTTGCAGGCACTGTCCTCGGTGCTGGGCCACAGCAGTGAACCAAACAGACAAGACCCGAGAAGAAGGCGGGGCGATAAACAGGTGAGCACATCCGTAGGACAGTGTCAGAAACAGACAATAAACCAGGGTCATATGACCGAGGCACATCTGTTTGGTAGAGGAGGCCTCTGAGCTGAGACCTGAGAGGTGACAGGGAACCAGCCCCAAGAAGCACTGGGGAATACAAAAAAGGCAAAGGTGCTGTGTTGGGAATGAACTTGGCATTTTCCAGGAACCACAAGAAGGTCTGTGTGGTCGAGGGAACTAACGGTGAGCAAGAAGAAGTGAAGTCAGAGCGATGATGGGGTGAGGTTGGGACCTCACAGGTGGCTCAGGTTTTAGGGGCTCCTCTTTCTGACTTTTGAGTCTGAACCACTTGAAAGGTGCAGGTGGCAGACTGATAGTGATCACGGGCGCCAACCCATGAGATGAACGTTACTTCTGACCCGAGCTGAGTAGGGGAGCTCTGTGGGCTCACCATCTTCCCACCAGCCTAGTGCTCCTGCTCTGTGGTGGGCACAGCCAGGAGAGAGAAGGGACCGAGCTGGGTACCCGTGGTTACTGATTCCAAGCACACCCATCAGAGGACTCGGATGTTCTTCCCATGCTTTGTCCACTGAAGGGTGGAGCAGAAATTCCTTCCCCATCTGGCTGCTTGAGGACTGGGATGTGTGTTCTCCCCCAGTAAGGCCATGGTTGGGGTCTACTTGTCCCCCACTGTGCCAAACCTGGCGGTTACAGCTCAGCACCTGAGGGACTAGGTCCATCCAGTCTGGAACTGGTGAAGGGTCAAAGAGGGCAATGAGGTCTGTTTTGTTGGCAGAAGGTGCCTGGGGTCTGGGGTCCATCGTGGGGAGTATGATGGAAGGGTCAACACCAGTCCTGTGTTGGGCCCTCCTGGTGGTCCTGGAGGTGGGCTGCAGGCTCCCCACCTGGAGCAGCTCTGGGGGCATAAAAAGCTTCCTTCCTTCTCCCCAGTGCCTTTCCAGTAGAAATGGAGCAGCAGTTGTGAGGTTAGAGGCAGTGGTACACGTGTAAACGTTTAACAGCCAGTGTTCGCAGGTGTGGTGGAGAAGCCTTGATTTGTAGCATTTGTAGCATGTGCAGGTTCCCGTAGTGTAAATACTGTCATCATGGCTGGCTTAAAGCTACCAACAGTTTAAAAACTGGTTCCCCAAATTCCTGGAAGTTTAGCAATTAGTTCTCCTGAGCTGCCTTGAGCCAGCTGTAGTACAGCACTGGTTAGAGCTGTCTTTCTTCTAGAGGACTCGCTCTGCTTCAGTGATCCCTTTCGTGGTTTAGCTCTGAGGAGTTGTTGGGATCCCCCCACCCCTAACCATTGCCTTCTCCTGGATTAGGGGCTGGAGGCTTAATTATGCCCTTTATTTAAAAATATACTGGGGATTTGTTTTAATCACCATAAAGTGACAGGGAGGAAGATGACTGTCTTTGAAAGAAGTTTATTCAGTTCCCAAGAGAAGGGGGCCTGCCATGCCATGAGGGGCCACCAGAATTGTTCAGAAGGAGTGAGGGGAAAGTGTGGGCAGAGCCTTTATGATTTTTGTGGGAAGGAATGAGTGAGTCAGAATAGGCAGCTGAGCAAGCTTAGAATTGGCTGGTTCGAATCATTCAGTGGGCTCTAGGCTCTATGGGTAGTCCCTAGTTGTCTGCTACCTGGGCCTGGGGTGATTTAGGGCAGAGGGAATATTGGTTTAGTGCTGGAGAATTAGACAAAGGAAGTAGTTGAATTGGTTGTTTTGCATTTCAAAGGTGTTTTCTCAGGTTAGTTGCTGTCTCTTGGACTTACCTAACCCTTGGAGGTGTGGTCTTTCCCCTTTGGCCCTAAGGTGTCAAAGCATCATAAAATATAGGAAATAGAAACATGATTAACACTCCCTCCAGTAAAGGTTAAGGACGATCACAACAGCTGACATTTACTGAGTGTTTATTTTGTGTCAGGCGCTGTGGTCCATCCTCATGCACGTACTCCTACCAGCAGCCCAGGGAGGAAGGTCCAGAGGAGGAAACTGAGGCACAGAGACATTAAGTTGCCCAAAGTCACGTAGCTATTAAAATAGCAGAACTTGAGTTATCTTATTCTACAATCTTAACCATTATGTGAAGTTGCCTTGTTGACATGTGACAGTGTCTGAAAGGATGGCCCAGAAACTGTGCCCCATTAGGGACTAAAAACTAGACATACAAAAAAAAAATTTTCCAGCTTTATTGGGATATAATTAACATATAATAAACTGTACATATTTAAAAACTAGACATACAAAAACTGTACATATTTAAAAACTAGACATACAAAAAAAATTTTCCAGCTTTATTGGGATATAATTAACATATAATAAACTGTACATATTTAAGTCATGACCACAAACATTTCTGTTATCCCCAAAAGTTTCCTTGTGGCCCCTGGTAACCCGCCCTCCCTCTACCTCTGTCCCTAGGCAACCATTGATCTGCTTTCTGTCTCTATAAGTTATTTTGCTTTTCCTAGCATTTTATGTAAATGAATCATAGAGTGTGTACTTTTTGTGTGGGGGGGAGGAATCCTATTTCTTTCACTCGGCGTACTGATTTTGAGACTCATCCACGTTGCAGCAGAATCAGTAGTTTGTTCCTGAGTAGTACAGCGTCCCCCCTTATCTGCGGTTTCAGTTACCCGCGGCCAACCATGGTCTGAAACGATTTAGTTTTTCCAGCCATCAACATCGTCATGGTGTGATGATCCAGGATCACCTGAAGCAGAGGATCCTCCTTCTGACTTATCATGGGAAGACCAGTAGTAGTAGCCTATACTAAGTCACAATGCTGATGTCATTCACCTCACTTCATCTCATCATGTAGGCACTGATGATCAGCTGACATCATCGCAGAAGAGGGTGAGTTCAGTACAATAAGATATTTTGAGAGAAAAATATCGCATTCACATAACTTTGATTATAGTATATTTTATAATTGTTCTATTTTATTATTATTTTTGTTAACCTACTGTGCCTAATCTGTAAATGAAACTTTATCACAGGTGTGTATGTGTGGAAAAAACATAGCATATGTAGGGTTTGGTACTGTCTGCGGTTTCAGGCCTCCCCTGGGGGTCTTGGAGCATGTCCCCTGTGCATAAGGGGGACAACTGTATTCCATTGTATGACTATAGCACAAATTGTTATCCTTTCACTGATGATGAATATCTGTTTAAACATACACTTTTTTGTTAAAAATATTTTTCCTAGTGTGGAAAATAATATATGCTTGTAAAGAATTTTAACAATATATAAAGTGAACCTCTTTCTAATCCCAGGCCCCAGAAGGAATCATTATGAAACGTTTGGCATGTAATCTTCTAGAACTTTCTTTGCCTACTCTGAGGACTTGGGAGAAAATCAATGACATCTCTTAATTTCCCTCCAGAGTTTGCAAACAGTCACAGGAATCAGAGATGAAAATGTCAGCTTCCTGACTGATAAAAGCAGGATTGGAGCAAGTGGCTTCACTATGAGGCCCCAGTAGGTTTTCTGATTATTTCACCCCTGAATTTGCCAAACCTGCTCGGGCATGGCACAGCTGGTCAACCACAAGGCTCCTCTAGATGACTACTGCTGGGTCCCAGCCTGACCAAAATACCCTCTCCCTGGGGTCTGGCACACTCCCAAGGGGAGAGAGAAAGGTTGTGAACCAAAGCAGCTCAGTTTCTTTTTCCAAACCCACTAGTCAGATAAAGTACGTGGGAGACTGGAGTAGATTGTGTGGCTGTTTCAAGTCCGTTTCAGCCTACCGTTAGTGAGGCTGCCGGTAGGACCGCCTAGGGCGCGCGCCTGGGCGCCTGCACTTGTGCTGAGCCCCACAGACGGTTCCCTGACCAAAACCAGTGTCGCGCTCGTGGTCCCTATTATGACTGTAGGGTGCGCCACAGCAACAACCGTCAGGGAAGTTGGAAAAGACAAGGTTTGTTACAGGCGGGAGGGTACACAGTACCCCAGGGGCCACAAGGGGAGAGGGGGAAGTGGGGGAGGGGAGAAAGAGAGAGGGACACCTGGGGCTCTGCCTTTATTGGGGTTGAGGGTGGGGCCTAGGGATTTGTGGGTTCACTCTTTGTTGATGAGTTTAAAACATAAAAGTGGGAAAATTTTTTTTAAAAAACCCATAAAAGTGGGAATTAAGGTGTGAGCGGGAAAGCAGGGTCATTCAAGCAGTAGGTTATCTAGGTTACTCAGGGCTTTCTAAAAACGGACACCTTGGGTGGGGTGGCCTGTTTTTTTATCCGGTTGTTTAGCTAGTAACTCATGCAGCTGGCACTGTTTATTCGAGATGGATGTCTTTGAAATGGATGCCTCAGCAATCAAAGCCTTGGTGTCAGGCACTTACGTTGCACCTCCTTAGATGCAGACATTCCCTGAGCTGTGCTTACTCCTCCCTGCAGAAGGAGAGTTTGTCCTGCGTAACCTTTAGGAGCTTGCAGAATCTTATGGTGGGAGTGTCCTCATTGCATTAGACCTTTTCTCCCTCTTGCAATAATCTTTTTGAATGAAGTCTCTCTTTACCAATGTCCAGAATTATTTTTATTCGACAGTGGATTAAAGTGAATCCTTGGAATCATTCTTGACTTCTTGTCCCCAAACTACACAGCAAGCTCATCAGCAGATACCCATCGGCTCTGCCTTAATACCTGAGTTCTACGCCCTCCATCCTCCCCTGCCACCCTCGTCTAGCCATCTCCATCTTTCTAAGTGCCCTCCCTGTTTCTGTTTTTTTTTTTTTTTTAAATATACATCAGATAATGTTGATCCTGTAGCTTAGACCCTTTGTAGGCTCCCGTTGCACTCAAATAAATCCTAAATTCTTTTGGTTGCCCAGGTGGCCCTGTGCTATCTGACTGTTACTCCTCTG